AAATGAAATGGCGAGTGTTTTGTTATGCATCATACACACTGATGTATGTGGACCCTTCAAAATAATGTCTAGATATGGTGAAAGACATTATATCACCTTCACTGACGACTTTAGTCATTTTGGTTATGTGTATTTGATGAAACATAAACATGAAGCATTTGAAAAGTTTAAATTGTTTCAAAGTGAAGTTGAAAATCAACTAGACAAAACAATCAAAATCCTTCGTTCGGATAGAGGAGGCGAGTACTTGAGCCAAGAGTTCCAAGACCATCTAAGTAGTCGTGGGATTATCTCACAACCCACTTCACCTAGAACATCACAGCTTAATGGTTTTTCTGAGAGGAGAATTTGGACCTTACTTGATATGGTTCAATCTATGATGAGTCGAAGTACTCTTCCTTTATCATTTTGGAGTTATGTTTTACTCACTGCAGCCCGTATCTTGAATATGGCACCAACTAAAAAGGTAGAGAAAACATCTTATGAGATGTGGTATGGAAAAGCTCCATCCTTATCTTATTTGAAAATTTGGGGTTGTGAAGCTTATGTTATACAGGAGACTTCAAGCAAACTCGAGCCAAGATCTACCAAATGCATCTTTGTAGGATATCCTAAAGATTGTTTAGGATATTAATTCTACATTCCTAGTAAGAATAAGATCTTCATCTCATGAAAAGTTGAATTTTTAGAAAGCAAGTTTCTAATGGATGAGGCAAGTGGGAGGAGCATGGAACTTGAAGAATATCAAGAACCTCAACCCGACGCAGCTTTAGTTGGCACTAGTACTGAACAAGAGGTTGTTGAAGATGAAGAGATCATTGTATTTTAACCTGTTGAAACACAAGGCGTTCGCAGATCCGGTAGAACTCGTTATGAACCTGAGAGATATGGATTTCTCATTGACGAGTGCTTCATGATGATAAATGCTGAAGAGCCCATCAACAACCGATATGCAATGTTAGATCCCGGATCTGACAAATGGCTTGAAGCCATGAACGCAGAGATGCAATCCATGAGAGAGAAGTCATGTCTGGGATTAGGTTGAACTTCCTCTAAATAGCAAGACTGTTGGAACTAAGTTGGTCTTCAAGAAGAAGACTGATATGGATGGCAATTTACACACATTCAAAGCAGGACTTGTTGCTAAAGGATTCACTCAAACTCATGGGGTTGATTATGATGAAACCTTTTCGCCAGTCGCTATGATTAAATCTATTAGGATAATACTTACCATAGCTGCATATTATGACTATGAGATATGGCAAATGGATGTCAAAACCACTTTTCTAAATGGACACTTGGAAGAAGATGTCTATATGGTTCAGCCCGAAGGTTTTGTCGACCAAAAGCATCCTAATAAAGTGTATAAGCTCAAGAGATGCATTCATGTGTTAAAATAAGCATCTCGTAACTGGAATCATCGTTTCGATGATGAAATCACAAAGTTTGGTTTTATTAGAAATGAAGATGAATCTTGTGTTTACATGAAAAATAGTGGGAGCTCAGTGACATTCTTGGTCCTATATATGGATGACATATTAATCATGGGAAATTACATTCCAACTTTACAAGGTATAAAGACATGGCTTAGAAAAGGCTTCTCAATGAAGGACCTAGGTGAGGCACAATACATTCTTGGAATCAAAATCTATAGAGATAGATCAAAACGATTAATAGGTTTAAGCCAAGGTGCATATATTGAGAAAGTGTTGAAACAGTTCGATATGCAAAACTCTAAGCGAGGATTTGTACCTATGGCGCATGGCACGGTACTAAGTTCATGTCAATGTCTTGGCACAAAGACTGAGCTAGACAAGATGAAGGATGTTCCATATGCTTCTGCAATTGGATCCATCATGTACGCCATGAACTGTACAAGACCTGATCTCGCTTATGCTATGAGCATGGTAAGCAAATTCCAAAAAAAATCCAGGGGAAAGTCATTGGACAGCTGTGAAGAACATTATCAAGTACTTACGAAGGACTAAGGATATGTTCCTCGTCTATGGAGGTGTGGAAGAAAGCTTAAGTGTAAAGTGCTACACTGATGCTTCCTTCACAACTGATCAAGATGATTACAAATCGCAATCAGGATATGTGTTCATTATCAATGGGGGTGCGGTATCTTGGAAAAGCTCTAAGAAAAGTGTTGTTGCACAATCCACTACAGAGTCAGAATACATTGTTGTTTCTGAAGCTGCACAAGAGGCTGTTTGGATGAAGATATTCATTGGAGATCTAGGGGTAGTCCCTACCATTCAGGACCCCCTAGATGTTTTCTGTGACAATGAGGGTGCTATTGCTTTGGAAAAAGAACCTAGATCACGCAAAAAGACCATTCATATTAGCCGAAGATTCAACTTCATCCGGTATAAAGTTGAAAAAGGTGAAATTAGTATTCGCAAAGTTCACACTGATCAAACTTTGGCGGACCCTTTCACGAAGCCCCTTCCTCAAGTCAAGTTTGAAGGTCATGCTTAAGGAATAGGACTTCGTTATTCTAGTGATTGGCTTTGATCTATGTATTAGTATTGAATATTAAGACATTGTAACATCATCTATTGTAATGACTATGATATATATGGCATATGATCTTTTCATTAAATATTTGTTGTGTTCTTTATTAACATGTTTAATCCATGAGTAAATTTATTCACTCTAAAATTCATAGTCGGTTATTATTGTGGGAACAGTAATAAAGTAAGACTAATATGAATTGGAATGGTTGACAAAGCGTTATAACCAATTTCATAGGTACTTACTAGAGAGCAAGTATTGGCCTGACCCGTTCAAGATCATTTTGTGGATCGCTGTCATGAATGATACTTGATAAAGGCAATATATGTATATCCTTAACACCTGAGATACATATATGGTACTTGAGTGTGGAGAATGTTATGCTTTGATGTAGTCAAATATTGTTCTTTGAACAGGTAGTTATAAAAGCTATTATCGGGCATGATGTGAACCATGCAAGAGGTGTATGTAGTCAAGATAGGATTTGTTCCTCTTATTCGTTGAGAGTTAGACATCTAAGGCCTGATGTAAAGTTGAACATTTATATGAGATTGACTGCGATCTATATCTCATGTTCAATATGATGCCTGTAACAAAGGGATAACTGATAAACTTACCTTACTCATCAATTGTAGCCTTGGGGCCTCTGGGGAATTGGGCGTTGATGGAATGGCACTATGTCATATGTTATTGAGGTCAGTGAAATGTTGCTAGACGTTCGCCACTGTCTATATCAATTTGATATGTGTCTTACGCAAGTGGGATATTGAAAGATCTAGTATGCTCAAGAGTCATATTTAAATGATATCACTAAATAACATATGATCCTAAGGGTCACACTAACAACAACTTGATACAATTGATTATTTATTAGAAATTAATTTTAACAAATATTCATAAACTCTTATATTAAATTGGGAAATATTTATTTCAAGGAAATAATTATTTTACAATACAAGTAACACATTATTTCATAAGGTATGAATTAATAAGTCATGTACAACATTTTGGAGTTGGAAAGCCTTTTGTCTTTTATCTAAAGACAAATTTTATATCGTATAAACTTTGAGTTTATAAAATATAAACTCAATCTTTTCTTTTTATAAAGTTATGGCCGGTTTTAGGGTCAAAGAAGAGAGGCATGGCTTTCCCGTTAGTTTAATCAAAAGAAATCAAGCATGGTGCATGCATGGGACAAGCTTGTCTAAAGTGCTTATTGGGTAAAGACATTTAGATTAAGTGTATGCTTTATATAGATTGCACTCTTGCAATTTTGCTTTCACTTCTCTCTTAAAAAGCCGAGAGCACAAGCTCCCTCTCTATCTCTTCTCTAGCCTTTGAAGTTCTTGAAGATTTGTTACTTGTTTTGCTCTCTTAGAACATATACTTGGGTATTTGTTCTAAGCTTAAGAATTAGCATAAGAACTAGCATTCTAATCAAGTTGGAACATTGTTGGTGTCTCAAGGGTTCATCCTCTCTCCATCAACTTTCAAGCCTCCCCTAGAGGACTCAAAGTGCTTCAAAGGTTGTTACCACTTCTTCCTTTTATGGTTGTGTTTTAAATCTTTCTTCTACTTGCAAGATGATCCTTGGTGGGTGATAAAATGTTTATGTTATTTATAAACCTCAAGTATTCCGTTTGCCATTATTTTTAGTTTTGAAACTAGTTTTTAAATAAAACCTAACATAACCTATACATGACAAACAACATCCCGATATATTCATAGCATGGTCTCGACGTAAGTCATACCATTGAATTTCCAATAAGAGCAGTATAACCTATACGTGACAAACAACATCTCGATATATGCATAACATGGTCTCGATGCAAGTCATACCATTGCATTTCCAACAAGAGAAGTATAACCTATACGAGATAAACAACATCTCGGTATATGCATAACATGGTCTTGACGCAAGTCATACCAATGCATTTCCAACAAGAGTAGTATAACCTATACGGGGAAATCAACATCTCAGTATATGCATAGCATGGTCTCGACGCAATTCATAACAATGCACTTCCAAAAAAAAGCAGCATAACCTATACGGGACAAACAACATCCTAGTATATACATAACATGGTCTCGATTCAAGTCATACCATTGCATTTCCAACAAAAGCAATACAACATACACGAGAGAAATAACAAGCTGGTGGGCTTAGAAGCACGAATTCAGTAAAAAGTCATGCCAAAGGATATCCAAACTAACATATACGAAAATCACGAAAGGTTGGCGAACATAAAAGCATGGTCAGGTCAAAAGACCATATCAAAATTGTCAATAGTACACTAAATCAGAAATTTAAGAAATAATTCGGTTACACTTGCAAGCAATCACGTAGCCTATGCTTGCAATAAAAAAAGAAGAAGAAGCATAACCAACTTGAGAAACAATGCCTACAAAGACTTGGCAGGAAGCTGAGCCTGAAGAATTTTGTTTTCTCGCAGACACGCTTCATAATCAGCCTCTAAAAGTGATCATTGATTTTCCAGCATAACAATCCTTTCTGACGCAGCTCGATACCGATCAGATAACTCGCTGTGCACCATACCAGCCTTAAAACTCATCTCTTCACCGACCAACTTCATGCCCTCAGCATCCCACATATTGACCTCAACAGAAAGATAGCGGCCACACAAAGTCAATAGCCCATCAAAGAATTTGGATATTTTACCATTCACGATAGAAAAGATAGCCTCGACACGAGCTATAGAGCTACAAGCTTCATTTATCTCTTCTTGAAATAGAAGACAGGAAGCATAATTTTCTACAAACATAAAAGGGAAGAACATAATAAATTACACAAAACAATAATAATGGATGTCAAAAATGAAGGGATACGAGTCTCTCTCTCTCTCTCTATATATATATATATATATATATATATATATATATATATATATATATATATATATATATATAAAAGAGAAGATAGGGGGATTTGTTTTTACCAACAACAATCGAAAACTAATGATCAAGTGGAGGGGGTAACAAAGTAACAGAAGTCACTGCCACTTCACGTAGAAAATCTTCAAATTGATGAGGTGTTAACGAGCATTTGGGTTTACGAACGGGGGGGGGGGGGAGTCTGTTGAAGGACCATCATCGAAATAAGAAGTCAAAGAAAGCGGCGGCAAGGCATCAACAGGAGGACTAGAGGAAGCCTCTAGGAGTTGTTCAATGGAAAAAGCATGCGACTCGAATCTAGGAAGTTTTAGAGGCGATCCGGGAGAAGGACCAACTAAGTCTGACCTTTTATCAGGAATTACATCTTCCACCATAATAGCCCGATGAGATTTTTCACCGGAGAGATACGCAGACAAATTAAAAAAAAAACATTTATTACCCCTTAAAACATTTAGTGCACAAAAAAAGAAACAAAAGGAACAACATTTATATTAGGTGAATATAGGTGTGAGAACAAAATAGATCTGATGCGCATGGACAAGGTTTGAGAACTCAAACCTTGAGTGAATGCTTAAGATCAACGTCTGCTTGCTATTAAATGTTCAAGTCAAGCCTGGAAAGACCAGTCAAGTCTTAGATAATATATTCAACAAATGATCAAGTCATTAAATGAGGAATGAGAATAAATGATCAAGGTAAAGCTAATAAATGAAGAACAGAAAGAATGTTTAAAAGAAGTTTGAAATAACTTAGTAAGTGCCAAAAGTTGAGTGAAAGATCCGTTTTTGACTTTGCATTGAAAGCTCCTATAAATAGGAGTGAAGGTTACAGCGAATTAACTAGAATACTTATATAGGACTGGACAATAGAAATGTTCCTGACATTCTGATTGTCTAATATTACAAAAGACTAAGTCCTATGAAATGTCACATCAATACAAAGACAAACTTAATAAATGCACAAAGACAAAATATTGTTACTCCGGATCAGCATCCATTCCGGACATGAGAATCATTCCGGAATGACTTCAGCTTCGCATCTTCTTCTCTTTTGGTCCGGACAGATTCCGGACCACTCTTCACAATTGACTCCGGACCATTTACTTCGGAACATGTGTACTTCAGAATTCGGACTTAGGATTGCTAGAGGTTCACTTTCAGGTTCCAACAATCTCCCCCTAAGTGAACTTAGCAATCCATTCAATTATACTGCTTCTTCCTTGATGAAAGTGTAAGCTCGGAACAGCCATTCTCTGACTTCAATGTACCAGGTCAGTAGACTTACAAACTTTGCTTTGACCTGTTCCGGAGCTTTAGACTTTGACGCACGAGAGATGAACTTCCAGAGTGCTTTGGTCGGGACTAGGTGTTTGTCAAGGACACGAAAAAAGTCCTTGTTTGTCTTCCTGGTTGTGTAGACAAACCCTAGAACCAATCTCATCTACATAATTTGATCACTTACGGTTGACGTGTAAACACCAGATTGTAACAAAAAAACTCTTTTTTTGTTTTTAAAATTTTATGGCTAATCTTTAAATAAATTAAAAAAACTCTGAATATATCGAAATTAATAATTTTTTTTTATCATATTTCTATCGACATATATATATATATATATATATATATATATATATATATATATATATATATATATAATGTTTATTTTTCAAAAAAAAAACCCCCCCAATTTGTTTTTTCTAATATTTAAGTTTATTTTTTTTATCAGAAATACAAAATAAATATATCAAAATTCATACTTTTGGTATTATTCGAATAGACATTCATATAGATGTATAAAAAAATAAAAGAATAAAGAGTCTAGCTAAGATTCACATTGTTAATGCTAAAAAGTGAATTATATACATTTCAGATTCGTAGTGTGAATAAACTCACTTGAAATCTTTAAAAACTAGATTATGAATAATCAAAACGTTTACATAGTATTAAATTACAAGTAAATATACTTCGATTCACATATAAATATGAATATTTATTTAAATTTAGTCCTGAAATCTAAGTTATTCATTATAAATTTCATTAAATTAATTTATGAATAAGATGAGTGTTGAAATAAAAACTCAGATTTACATCGTCAATGAAATGAATTATATTATTATAGTTATATTCACATTGTAAATAACAAATCTTGAAAAAACTAATTTATAAATAATTAAAATAGATTTTTACAAAAGAAACCAACTTAACTCATTTTGGACTACGCTAAATATATGTTCTAACTTATTGCAATCTATAGACTCGTTATTATACTACATCTATTTATTATGTTATAAAATAAATGTGCTCGACTAATAAATAATGTTTTTGATAATTTTCTAATTTTTAAATATACGGTTGATGTGGGCCGGGTAAGTGGCCCACAATACCGGAAATGGGCTCCATCTTCTTTCTGACTTTAGTGAAAAGTAAAAGGCATCCCATGTGGATCCAAAGAGGACTGTTCGGGTTCCACTTCTGACTTCTTCCCTACTAACTTAAAAATATATATAAAAATAAATAAATAAATAGTATATTAAATAAATCTTATGTTCAGGGGAAAAGACATAAAATGCAATTTTGGGAGCTTTTATGACAATATTGAATAGAAAAATCACAATTTGTTCAAGAACTTGATTTTTACGACCCCTCTTATTAGTTCTTACACAGAAACATAACTAAACTGTTATTTATATCGCATGTTATTATATATGGTCTTTATTATTGCAAATATATAGAAAAAAGAAGCATGTTACGAAAGCTATTTACATGATTTTGATGTAAAATTATTTTGCTAAATCGTCAAATAAAATCAGAACGGATGCAACCCTATTGTCGGTAATAGACACTAACAAAATGAGTTAAATACTTAATATTATTCTCTATTCATCATACGAATATCAAGAGTGAAGAGTAAAACCACTTTCTCTTATATTTAATTTTACAATTTCACAATTTGTCATAATTTTTTGGGAATATTACTTATTAAGGTAATTAACTTTTCGGTTTTTTCACATTTAGGTAACTATTTTTTTTACATATCTAGGTAAAGAACTTTTTGGAAGTGTTCACATATAACCATTATGACCGACTGTAGCATGTTACATCCGGTCATAATAGTCATATGTGAACACTTCCAAAAAGTTCGTTACCTAGATGTGTATAAAAAAAAATAGTTACCTAGATGTGAACAAACCGAAAAGTTAATTACTTTGATAAATCAATTTCTTTTCTTTTTTATTTTACCTTCTAATTTTGATTTGATATCAAATTTAACATAAATGGTAAATGTTTTTAAAACCATAAAATTTTAGTAAATATCTTTTTTAAATATACTACTTTGGTTTAAATAAAAAAAAATAATAAAAAAAGACTTTGGTTTAAATAAAAAAAAATAATAAAAAAAGACTTTAGATTTGACATGGAAAAAAAAACATATCGTTGTTTTATAGAATTTTATTGTTTAAGATATTAAATATAAAAATTTAAATTTGCTAGTGACTAAACGTATCAGAAATGAAGACCAATAATATGAAGAAGAACATCAAAATCCACAACGATGACAGATAAATCGATTGATTTTGGTTCTCTTAAAGTATGAGGAATCAAATCCAGAATGTTGTCGGTTCTCTTATGATGTAATTGGATTCCCCTGACTTGAAAATAATCGACAAATTGTTGCCACAAAAGGGGGTAAAACAATCTTTCTAATGCTAGATTTTTATTCGATTTAGAGAAATCCATAAAGATGGCACTGTTTGATGAGTTAAAGCTTAGAATGTTGTTCATAGAATATTGTGGTGTTAGTTCGTCAGAGTTTAAGGAACAAAAAAGGGGATGGTAAAGATGTCGATGTCACTAAAGATGAAAAAGAAATAGAAGTCGAGGAGGATGAGAGATGGGATGGTGACTGGTGGGACCCATATTAAATTTCTCAAATGTGGTATCAAGTTTAGGGTGAGGAGATAAAGATATGTGGGGTTTATTAATTTTTTTAAATAAATAAAACATAAATACATAAATAAGAAAATTAATTAAAAAATAAACTAATAAGGGCACAGTCTTTTTAGGTAAGAGGGGGACCAAACGTGCAACAAAAATAAATAGTAGGTATCATCTGAGATAAAAAAAATAAGTTAGGGACCAAACATGCAAATTACCCCAAACTATAGGGACCATTCGTGTAATTTACTTTTACCATTTCGGTTTGTTCGCATCTGGGTAACTATTTTTTTTGTACACATCTAGGTAATGAACTTTTTGGAAGTGTTCACATATGACCATTATGATCAGATGTAACCACCTACAGTCGGTCATAATTGTAACACCCGGTTCTCGGTACGTAATTTTAAATATGAGTTTTACATTTTTATACTGGGACTCGACGAGTTGGTGGACTCAAACTCGTCGAGTAGGGGCTACTCTTGGACGGGGGTGGAAGAGTCTACTCGACGAGTCGGAAGCCCCGACTCGACGAGTAGATCTGTCTGGATGAAACCCTAAATTTTAGGGTTTGCACCCTATTTAAACATCTTATATGGCCTTCACTCCAGCCTCCATCACCCTCAGACCCTATTCTCGAAACCCTAATCAGTTTGTGAGTGTTCTTGAGCTATTTTCTGGCATTTTAGTGATTTGAAGCTTGGAGAAGGAAGGAAAGGCTTGGAGGTTCAAGAAGAAGGCAGTAGATCCAGAGTTTTGGTTGCATTTCCAGTTTGTTTGAGCTAAAAAGCTTCAACCTTGGATTTCCATCACTTAGATCTTCTTTAGGGCTTACAACTTGTCATTTTTGGGACATTCTAAGTCACTTTCGGTATTTGAGCGAATATGAGAGTGATGACTTCAGATCTGGGAACATTTGAGCTCAGGAAGCTCAAAGTTTCCACCTTTATTGAGCTATGGCCCTATCTCATGCATTAGAACTCCTTTATGGCTTAGTTTTGGTGTTTTAGCTTCATAACACCCATGCATGCACGTAAAGTTTGTAACTTTACGTGTTATATTGACCCTAGGAGGCCAGATCTATGCTTTGAATGCAATAAGCCCGACTGAAATCGACTGTATGGACTTGGACTTTGGGGGACTCGGCGAGTCGGGTCATGGTTCCCCAGCCTTTTATGTTTCTAAGCAATCTGGTTGAGTCTAGAAGAGGACTCAATAAGATGGACATGAATATGGACTTGAACATCAAGAACTCGACGAGTTTCAGGATGAACTCGACGAGTCAATGAGCAAATGTTCCGATCTGTATGAAGGAGAACTCGAAGAGTCTAAGGAAGGACTCGACAATTTCAAGTGGAAAGTCCCGATTCTGTCATAAGGAGAAACTCGACGAGTTAGAGGGTAACTCGACGAGTCTGATTGCGAATGCGAGTTTCTCT